GCAACGGTGTTGGCTTGATTTTTTTAACGTTAGCAGAGATAGACTATGACCTGTGGACCGAGGGCTTTACCAATTCCGGTGGGATGGTTATTGACATAGATATTCTCCCAGTGACCCTTGGGCGCGTGATAGACCTCGTGCATGATGCTCAGGTGCGGGTGGTCCTTGGTGATCTTGTTCCACCAATCCCACGCCTTGCGGTGCCGTGGACCATGAGCGAACGCGTGCAGATCCTCGACGCTGCGGAAGTAGCAGAGGACCATGACCTGGTTGCTGGTTTCTTTTTCGGTGAGGGAGATCCATGACGATTCGCCGAGGTCTTCCGACCGTGGTCAGCTAGCTGTTCGTCATGGAGAGTAGCACACACATACATCCGTTTTTATCTGCCTCTCTGTTGAGCTCCGCAATCATAGCGCCGATGTCACTTTGGATCTTGGCATACCCTGGAGCGAGGAAACCGAATGGGCTGTTGACTAGTCAGCGGGGACGAGGAAGAGGGGTTTGGGTTCCACGCACTGGTTTGACCTCGCCGCGAGGATGATGACGGTGATGTCTTGTTCGGATGGCTTCTGGGCTGGCGAGCCATCTCTGCCGGGAATCTGCGCCGTGTACTTGCCCATCACCACGTCATCCATGCTTGGGTTCCGGACGAGACCGAGATACATGAGCCCGGTGTGGAGCAGTCGATAAGTGAGGTACCCAACAGTTGGCAGGAGGGCGTAGCGAGGGGGCAGGATCAGTGTTGAGAGGCCTTGAAAGAATGCGCCGATAGCAAGCCATGTGAAGAGACTGAAGTTGTCGCGCAACACCTGGGAGAGAACGGTTAGCTTTGGGTTGGTATGCGAGATCTCATAATCGGCGGTCGAGGATATCAAGCTCACATTCAAAGCCGCGATCGAGCCAACGTTGGCCCGGGGACGGGTGAAGGATGCCCCAGGCGGGAAGAGCTGCATTGTAGACTTCATTGTGGTTGACTCGGGATGCGGTCTCTCGGGTGCTACCTATACGCGGCGGGGTTGGTGATTTATGTACTTTTGATTTTGAGACAAGGCAGCGGTCGGCAGAACCCGAGTGGAGCGGTGGGATCGTATGCCGCGCAGGGGTGTTGCGGAATCACAGGTATTCCGCGTATTCCGGCGTTCCGAGAACCAGGAAGGATCATTGTCGACGGAGTCGAGATGGGGCGCGTCTAGATGCGATGAAAGGTGCACGGCAGCCATTGGGTCAAAGACAAGCCGCCTTTCAGGCCTGCCGATGCAAAAGTCGAATTTCGGCTCGACCACCAGTTTGTTATGACGTACGGAAACCGTTGGTTCCGTTCGCACTTTCGCATTCGCTTGCGAGGCGGATTCGGAATTCGGAGTGGGCGTTGCATTTCGAGCCCTGAATGATTGGTAGGTCGGTACCTGGCTGGCCAGTACGAAATGTTAGGTCTGCAGAGATTTTCCCACACAGGTCGACTTATTAATTGGCCCTATAGCTGAATTCATCTGGAAGGCTTCTTGCGTGTTCGGGAGAGCCGCTTCATTTCCAAATGTACAGCTCTATGGCGACATATAGCTTTGCCTCCAAGTTTCACTTTTGACATGGTGCTAACAATCCTACAGATATTCAAGTTACACCAATCACCAAGCCCTCGCACTCGCTTGTGAGCGTGCTGTGATTGGCCGCCACTAAAACTTGGTTCAACGACGGGTCCCGTCGTCCCCGGTCAACCGTGCAACTACAACTGGCATTGGACCTATAACTTCTCGTCATATCAAGCTTTTTCCCGAGCTGCGTCGTCCAAATAAATTCCCGGTCGCCAGGGAATATCACTTAGAGATAACACTCAAGTTGTCGTCACGGATTAGAGTCCAACCATCTCTGGAGCCGCCGGTATCCCAGGACGAACCAGGGACTTGGCGGTTTTCTACCCCGCGAGTGAAAACCTAGCAATGTCCCAGTATCGAGCTCTTGGGCAATGAATGGCTTTACGAAAAAAAGATCTCGATAGATGGTTTAGCATCATCGGAGGCGCCCGGAGTACGATGCTGCTGAACCGGGCACAACATGGTTGCAACTTTGTGAGATTTCCTCGAACTCTTCACGCAGATTTTATCTTCAGACATGGCATAATTCGGCAGGGAACCGCTGGCCCGTGCGTCTAGTTCTCTTGGTCGATACTGCGGCCCATCCTGCCAAGGAGAGCTAGATCGCACAAGCAACCAAGTCTTGGGAATCCACCATGACTGTTGAAAACCCGCTTGTCGCCCCGCCGCCGCCGCTTCTGTGGAGGACACGCCCATCGAGGTGACCGGTCCCGGAGACATTCCGGGCGACGAGTTTGATGCTCAGAAAATCCGACGCAGCATCATCAGTGGCATCGATGAGTCTCCGGTCGAGTCTCTCTGAGCATGCATACGAGAATGGATGAGGTGGGGTTTTTTCCTCTGCCCAGCGTCCCTCGGGCGGATGTCATGCTGGGTAGATTGAGATTCGGGAGTTTGGCGACACCACATAATGCGACGATGGATCGGTTTCCAAGGGCTATGCTGTCTGCAGGTTTCTCAACTTGGCTACAGAACTTCACGAAGTTTTGCGGGCCATTTCCGGAGGGGAACAATCTTGCCGACCCGCTTCGTGAAGCCGGCTCTACCAATGTTCCCGTCAAAAAGTTGAAGATTGAAGATCCCGCTTACCAAAGGTGACACCGACATCTTGGCCGTGATAACCAGCCTACCGCCAGATATCCCAAGACAATCACGTCCCACTTGACGTCTCCCGCCCAGACCGGCCTGCATCAACACAGTAGCATTTGTACTCGGTTAGAAAGTGCCCCATCACTATTGCAATCATCATTCGCACAGTCCAATCTGGTCCCCTACTGCCAAGCGCCACCGTCCACCGCCCTATTGCCTCTGCATGGCGACTGATTGGCCCACCACCCAGGCCCCATAGACCCGGTGCAGTGGATGCCGGCTTGGGACAAGTCAGTACGGGGTCCCAAGGCGACGGCCCCAGTCCATTCCATGACACATAAATAGTAGAGCACGTCGCCCTACGGGGCAAGGCTGGTTACCTGGAACTCTCGCGTGCACAGCTTCACCACCCTCTCAACATGGCCGTCCTCGAGACACTCGGCGAGCTGCGATGGCTTGTATTGGGTGGACTTGTCGTGGCCTACCTGGCCCGCACGCTTTACGCATACAACCGACTTCGACATTTCAAGGGGCCGTGGGGCGTGGGTATTTCCGAGTTTTCACACACTAGGAGGATCTTGACAATGACGGCCTACACATGGTACGAGGAGGTTTGCGCGAAATATGGTGAGTCTTTTCTAGTGCCTAGAAGCTGTCAGGAGCCGGCCGGTTGACAGGCAATGACAGGACCGCTTGCGCGGATCGGACCCAACTCGCTCGTCACGGCGAACCCAGAGGTTTGGGCGCACGTCCACACAACCCCCGGCTACAAGAAGACGGACTGGTTCTATCAGGCTGCTCGTTTCGAGTACCAGAGGGACAATATCTTTACGCAGACGAACACGGAAAAGCACGATATCAGGCGAAAGCAGATTGCGCCGGGCGTACGTGGCAGGACGACTCTCCCCGCTTGGTAGATCAGGCTAACACGGAGCAGTATTCTGGCCGGGAAAACGCAGAGCTCGAGGCTTCCGTGGATCGGCACGTCAAGACGCTCATCGACCTCCTCCGGACCAAGTACCTCTCGACCGACCACCGAGTAATCCCCGTCGACCTCTCCAAAAAGATCCAGTACCTCACGCTCGACATCATCAGCACCATCGGCTTCGGCCGGTCCTTCGGGATGCTAGAGGCCGACAGCGACGTCGACGGCATCCTCGCCGCCTCCGAGAGCGGGCTCCTCCTCGGCAACACCTTCATGGCCATCGGGCTCGCATGGCTTCGCCAGGCGCCCATCATCGGCCCCGTGCTGACGGCGAAGCCCGAGGACGCGAGCGGCATCGGCCGCATGGTCGGGTTGTGCTATCGCTGGGCCGACGAGCGCTGGGCGGTGCGCGCGACCGACAAGCGGCTCGACATGCTCGGCTCGTTCATCAAGCACGGCCTGTCGCGCGAGGACCTGCGCAGCGAGCTGATTGAGCAGATCATCGCCGGGTCCGACACGACGGCGAGCGCGCTCCGCGGCATTCTTTTGTATCTGATGACCAACCCGCGCGTCTATCTCAAGCTGCGCGCCGAGATTGACGCGGCCGTGGCGGACGGCAGGGCGCCCGTGTCGACGCAGGGCGTCGTGAGCAGCGCGGCGGTCAAGCAGCTGCCGTACATGCAGGTCGTGATCCGCGAGGCGATGCGCGTGTGGCCGCCTGTTGTCAATCTCTTCCCGCACGACGTGCCCCCGGGGGGTGATCGCATCACCGTGGACGGGACGACGTATTTTGTACCTGGCGGGACCGAGATCGGGACGTCGATGCAGGGCATGATGCATGACGCCGCCGTCTTTGGGGAGGACGCCAAGGCGTTCCGGCCGGAGCGCTGGTTCGAGGCCGACAAGGACAGGCTGGCGCGCATGACGAGGACGGCGGATTTGGTGTTTGGACATGGGCGGTGGTCGTGTCTGGGCAAGCCGATTGCGCAGCTCGAGCTGGGCAAGACGATTTTCGAGCTGCTCAGGCATTTTGATCTGGCGCCGATTAACCCGACGAGTCCGTGGCAGCTGAAGAGCCCGTTGGGCTTGTTTTTGGTAGAGAAGCAGTTTGTGCAGGTGACGGCGAGGGAGGTGAAATAGGGGTCAAGCTGGAAATGCGGTCTCACGCATACTTTGATGATGCAAGAACGAGATGTTTCTCAATCAAGAGAGTATGGAAACAGAGAGAAAACACATTCATTTTTCAGGAAGCAAGTGCCATGCGTGTTCTTAGTGCCATTGACCCAGAATTGACACCTGTCTCCGCAGCTTCAACTGTCTGGCTGAACTACTCGACATTAAACAAAAGGGGTAATTACGCTCCATGTTGACACAGCGGCACAAAACAAGACCAATCCTCCGTGGCGCAATTGGCTAGCGCGTCAGACTGTTAAGTGAAAGTTGGAAACTTAGTAAGTTCCATCCTTCCTGAGCACATCTGGAGGCTGTAAGTTCGACCCTTACCGGAGGAGTTGTGTCGTGCCTCTTGGGCACATTTTTTTGGTTTCTTTTTTCGTTCTCATTATCATCGCTTTTCTTTTGAAAAGGCGCATCTTCTGCCGAGGAGATATATCGGATACAACCACCATGACTCCCACAACGTCTAGGTCTACAACACCCCAAGTTCAACTCATCCCCCCTCCGTCCCATTCCATCGACAGCATCTCTGACGAAAATTAATCACCCCTCCACGGCCTCAATCCCCTTTGAATCCAACCCCAGCGCCGCCCCGTCAAACTCCTCATCCCCCACAGGCAGGTCCAAACAAAACCGACTCATAACCGCCACGCCCACCTGCACCTCCCCGTCCGTCTCGAACGCAAGAATATGTCCCCCCCTCTGCCTATCGTCCGTAATGAAATGAAAGTGGTCACCCGCGACGTTAATCCCCATCACATACCCCGGACACCGGAACCCGACCACCGTCCCCCTCACGTTCTCGAACGTGTGTTCCGTCTGGCGCGCGCAGACAGAAACCATACCCTCCCTTGGGGTGATCTGTCCGCCCGCCGTGCGGAAGTTGATCTTGCGAAAAGATCCGTCGATGCGGATGGCCAGGAAGTGGTTTTTTGTGCCGGGGAAGTGCGTGCTAAGCAAAGAGGAGAGGTCGGCCTTGCTGCCCAGGGCGGTTTTTACAGAAGTGGTGGGCTCGAAGCGCGTGATGGTCGCGAAGGGGGTTATGGTTTCGGCAGGGCGGGAAATGTGCACGACGGTGCCGTCGGCTTTCATTTGGTACACCTCGGAGTCGAGGATGATCATCTCGCCTTGCATTCCCCGGAACGTGCCCAGGCCGTGGGTGCCGTGGTCTAGGAGGCGGGAGATGGGGATGCCGTTGGTGGCGACGCCGTCCATTAGGGCGGAGATTATGCTGTACTGGTAGACTTCGTTTGCTGCCATTTTTGGAAATTGCTTTCGGTGGGACGTGGGGGAGTTGAGGGGTGAGGTTGGGTTTGGGTTTGGGTTTCGGGTCGAGAGGTTGAAGGTTGGATTTGATGTTGAAAGAAGCGGTCGCCGATGATCGGATATCCTCGGATGCGGCGGGTGAAACATCGGCCGCCCAGAGTCCGACTCGACCAGTGCCGGTTGCGGGAGGTTTGGTGCAACGTTGGGGATTAGCCGGGATATAAACAAGGCTTTGCATCAGGGGTTTTGACGAAGAAAACAGAATCAAGGGAGACCTGGAAGGAAGCGTTTGGGAAGGTTGAAGATGAGACATGCAGAGCCGATACAAGCCGCGGGATGCTTGTAACTTGCCGGGCTTGCTTTGCAAGTATTTACAAGAGAAGCTTGAGAGAACTCCCAGTGAAAATGTTTTCGCGGACTTCGAAGCAGTAACCTTGTTGCGCTGCGTGGCATGTAAGATTGTGTAACCGTGGTGGTCCCTTGGCCATGTCACTCAAGGGCAGTGATCTCTGTGGACCCGAATCCCCACGCAACAGATTGGTAGCATCACGTCTGAGTTGAGGGAACGATATGGTCCTCCGGCCTGTACCTCTTAGTTCAGAGTCTCATTTGGAGGTCAGTTCTGGAAAAAGAGAAAAAGCGTGTGGAAATTTGTGAACGTCGGGGTCTGCACTCGACCATCTTGATACCACCATCCATCCCTGCCATCACAACACGCAATCCCATTCTCTTTGTGTACAGTTTGTTAAGAAAAAAAAAACATACAACACCGGGGATTCGCTGGTGGTCACCCACCCAACTACTAGTCCGGCCCTTATTTGTCTTGCATGTTGGAGTCATGGAGCCTGGAAATGGGAGGGTTGTAGTATCCAGGCGGCCGCAATCTGCGGCCCAGCCGTTTAAAATAGCCGTTAAACCCCTTCACCCAACCTCCGTACGCACCCTACTTCCGTACATTGGAATAGGATACCTCACTTTGCAACTACGTACAATTTCACTACATTTTGCAGTAAAAAACAGATATCTATAACGTCATTCACAAGCGAGCTGAACACCCAAGCGAGCTGTACACTCCAAATCCCATACATAACCCTAGAAAATCCAAGCAGCTAACTCTACCAATTTTACATATATAACCCTAAAAATTTAAAATTAAGTATTTTATATTACTTTAAATAAAATAAAAGCTTACTAAGCATAATAAGATTACAGGGTTAGGGTAAAGGAAGAGTTTCATAGGTTTTTTTATAATAAATAGAGGAAAAGTTAATTTAACCTTAGCCCTATAGGGTTATCGTGCTTACTAAGCTGTTAATTTATTTAAAGTATTATAAAATACCTAATTTTGAATTTTTAGGGTTATATATGTAAAATTGGTAGAGTTAGCTGCTTGGATTTTCTAGGGTTATGTATGGGATTTGGAGTGTACAGCTCGCTTGGGTGTTCAGCTCGCTTGTGAATGACGTTACCTAAAACTCATATAACTTTTATAAAGTATTATAAACTGATTTATATGTAAATTTAATAATAATATTATCAATTAAAGTCGATTGCTCTTATCGAGGAATAACTTTTCCTATTTAAAAACTTAAACTTAATTAACGGGTTATAAACTATTTTTCGAAAACGTTACGCGTATATTCCGTTTACTAAAGGCTTTATTTAAAGCATATATATAAACGTTAATAGATTATTACTTTATAGTTAATACTATAATATTATATAACGCTTAACTATTAGTTTCTTTGTAATAATAAATTTTAAAAGGAAAAAATAACGCTACGTCAAGAGGCTAGGTTGCATAGGTAGTATGTAAAGGTTGTTACGGATAATCTGCACGGATCACGTAGGTTGCGCAGCAACCCACGCACATGCCGTTGCACGGCCTATATAGCTGTTCAGGTGCGCTGCCGCTGCGCGCACCTGACTTTAACAAGCAATTAATTATCTATCTTACAGCTAGCTCGTAGCCTTCGGCTTTACCACCCATTAGTCTAAAGGACCCGACGATGGGTAAGGTGGTTTTAATCCCTTACAGGTTTCTTATTATTATTTTCGCTACCCCGCTAATATATTGTTAATATGTATTAGTGTAATAATGAAGGTGTAATAGTAAGATATATTATATATTTGTCTTAAACCGTAGGAAGCCGAAAGCTTCCACCTCTAAGGGGGTAGGCGGTCCCTCTTCTATATAGTTATAGCACATGAGTGCCTTCTATCTAACTTCGGTGCGCGTACGCTCCGAGTACCTATTAAAATATTCCTTCGCAATCTACTCGATCGGGCTCTTCTGCGCCCAGAATGCGATTGTAATCAAAAAAGAAAGTAAAAAAGTAAAAAATGTGAAATAAGGGGTTTGAGGGAAGGTATTATCCTACACTTAATCCGAGGTAAGCACACTCTTTCCACCGTTTAAGGTATAACTCAGGTCGCAATTAGCAAATAGGGGTAATAAGAGGGGGTAAACAAAGAAAAGAAGCCGGTTTGGGGTAAGTACGTTGTTCCTTCGGTCTCTGATAGGCTCCAATTTCAGTATATTTTGGCTGTTACGGTACCAGCCGGAACTACCCTGGGTATCCACCGGAACGGAACCAAACCCCCGGCGCCTAGGCGCTGGGACCCAGCCATATATATATAACTACGTCGTAATACCTCCTCCTCTTTCACCCTCCTCGCACAATAATAAGTCTTTCTCCTCGATCTTTAGTCGGCGTCGTGACATCGGTAAGTTATAAAAGTCCTCAATAACAAATAAAATAAATAAAAAAAAGAAGCGGGGTGTAACAAGCGGAGGGCAGGGAACCGTTGCGCCAATGGACCAAAAGATCTACCAGTGCAAGCACACCAGTGCTTGCACCGTCCTGCCCAATTGATTATAGCGTGTGTATATAATACGGGGTATAGTTGGTTTTAGGTAGGTATACCCCCTTAGTATGTTTTGGTTAATTGGTTATATATAGGGAAAAGTTCGGACGGTAGAAAGTAAGTTCCGGTATAAACCGCGTACAAGCCACCCAGCTACATATAAATAAGTAGCCTTCCCTTTAATTTAATTTATTCTTTTCCTTTTTATTTTATATTATATTGCTATAGCTACTATCCCCGATTTAGTACCCTTTTAGCGTAATTATTAGATTGCTACGTAAGTACTAACCTTGTTTTAAATACGCTACTAACCTTTTAATCCGGATAACCTTTTCGTCGCGGGTTTATACTTACGTTGCGTTAATTAGCTGCAGCTAAGTAAATTGGGGGTTAGTACTTATTGCGAGTATATATGGGGGCTTTAGCTTAATTCTCGTAAATATAATAAGTGTATTAAGGGGTACTTTGCGTATATTATAGTACGTATTTTTCCCGTACTTACTTCGTTTTTGTATTAACTTTATATAATTTGATAATGAGGATTACTTTTTAGCCTTCTATATCGTTACTTAGTCCCGGAAGTTAGCTACTGCCCTTGCTACTGCCAAAGTATATTTTTCTGTTAGTATATTTATTATATTTAATACTTATTTTTTATTTCCAGCTTTAAGCTGTTTTTGGCACAATGTAGTTTCTTTAAGTAGCTTATTGCCTTAGTAGCTTTAATACTACTACTACAACTCCCACTTATACTTTCGCCTTTGCTCTAACCGCTTCGACTTTATCCTAAGGTTGTATTAAGGCTATTATAACCCTATTGTAGGCGCGTTATATTAAGAGCGCTATTAAGGTAGTTTCCAGTAACTTTTAAATAATCCGGATGCGTATAGTTGCTTTCGCTATTCCTGAGATTACTACTGCTTAGAAGGCCGAGGATATAAGTAATTTGCAATGTATTTAGTTTAAGTTTGGGGCTAATAATTAGTTATTTAAAATAAAAAGAAGGTTAAGGGTATTGTTGTTAGGGCCGAAAAGGGTGGTAAAGGTAGTGCTATTAGTAAAAGGAAAGGTATAAAAGGCGGGAAAAAGGGTAGCTAAAAGTAAATAAGTACCGCTGGGGTTTTACCCTGGTTTATAGTCGTTACGCTTTTGTATTGATTAGGTTACTAATTTATTACTTTGCATTTTTAACGGTTTCCTT